TAACTGGGTGTGGTCTTGCCCTGGAGGCACTCTCTCCACTGTTTAAATGCAAGTCTCTTTGTCCCTCCTAAACCACTATAATTTCCTTATCAATGGGATCCTCTCCAACACATGCCTGGGCTCCAACATTACTTTCCTAGTGCTCTTTTTCGTCCATCCTGTACATGCTGTATTCCTTTCTGCCCCATTTGTTCTTTTTCACTGTAAATCTGTATAATATTCACCTTTAATAGTCACACTACCATTTCTCCATTATGCTGTCTTGAAATTTCTTCTGCCAGAGAAATTAGTCCATTGCTTTTCAACTTAGCCTCAGGAAAGCTTTTAGGCTGTCTGCAGACTCCAGCCAGACTCTTTGCCAAAATATTCTAATTGCTGCTTAAGTCCTCATTTCTCTCTGGAACTACATTATTCTCAGCACTGCTTTCTTCCAGGCTCCTACTAGAATGGCCTGTTAAGCTCTGCTTAGAGCAATCAATTGCTTTTCTAATACAAGCTTCCAAACTCTTCCATATTCTTCCCAAGCCCCACATGATCAGGTTCTTCACAGCCAACGGCCCGCTCTCTGGTACCAATTACTGTATTAGTTACTTTCCTGTTGCTGTTATAGAAACATTGACCAAAAGAACTTATAAAAGGAAGAATTTATTTGAGCTTACAGTTCCAGGGGAATTACAGTCCATCATGGCCGGCGTGCATGGTGGCAGAGGTGGCTGGAGGAGAAGCAGAAGCTAGGCTCTACATCTTCAGGCAGGCACAGGAAGCAAGAGAGTGGCTGGAGATCTGGCAAGGCTTGAGAACTCTCTAAGCCTACCCCCAGTGATGTGCTTCCTCCAGGATAGCCACACCTAACATCCCCCCTCTCTTGGGGTCCTTCTTTTCCTTTACCTCCATGGTTACTTTCCATTTTCCTGACTCCTGTGTTTACATCTCAAATATCTCCCATAGACTCTTGTGTTTGAATTACTGATCCCCAGCAAGTGATGGTGTTTGGAGGAAATGGAGAACCTTTGGGAAGTGGGGCCTAGCTCCAGAAAGCAGTTCACTGGGTGTGGGTGGGATTGGGTGATTACCAATACATTGTAAGTAGCCATATCTTGCCACCATGCCTATCACTCAAAATATTATCCACATGAAATCTTCATTCCTAAGTTGCTATTTGTTTGGCATTTGGTTGTAGTGACTAGAGTAACTAATACACTTCTCTTAAACGAAAATTAAGAAAACTCAGTGAGGAGTATGCCTGTCATTCGTTGCTTTTGCTCTGACCTCACAAAGAGTCATTGTGAGGAATGGCTGATACCTGCCTATATGATGAGCTGGTTGGGCTGAGCTGTGTCCTTCTAGTGCAGAAAGCTGACTGGTGGTGATCTGCGGGACTCGGACATTGGTGAATTTTTGGACTTTGATGTTGGTAATTTTTTTGGACTTGGAATTTGGTGAATGCATAGACTTGGACATTGGTGAAATTCTGGACTTGGATTTTGGTGAATTAGTAGACTTGGACATTGGTGAAATTCTGGACTTGGATTTTGGTGACTTATCTTACTTGGACATAGTCAGCTTGCGCCTCACCTTACTGGCTGCGGTTTACAGGTAATGGTTTTGGTGTTTTCATTTGATGTTTATGTTTTTGGTTTTACATCTTCCTTTTGGATGTTTTTAACTATTCTTCATTAATTATCCTCCACTTTTCTTTTTCAAACTACTCATTCTAGTCCTTTTGTACTTTTTGAAAGTTTTTATAAGTAAACATTAAGGGTAGAGTAAGGACTTCATGATGACATTTCCATACATGCAGAGAACGTACTTGCTAATATTCACGAGCTCTATTACACTTAAACTCCCTCCCCTTCCCCTTCCACATCCCGAATATTTCCCCTTTTACTTTCAAGAGCCCCCACACCCGGGATTCTGCATTTAAAACAGGTTGGCAATATTTGTCTTTGTGGGACTGGCTCATTACACTCAATGCAATGCATTTTTTCTGAATATGACAGCATTTCTTTCTTTTTATGATTATGTGATTCTTTCCTTTGATTCTGTTCCCATGCTGTCTTATTTATCAGGTGGTTTATGTTGGAATCCTTGCCTGACTGGTTGAACCTATCTTCATTGTGAAGTATGGCCTTTTTATATGCTGTCGAATTTGGTATAAAGGATTAAGTACGATCTCTTTTAAATTTTTAATCATGTGTCTGTTTGGGTGAGCGGGCAGGTGTCTGAATGGGCTGGAGGTGTTGGATGCCCCAGGAGCTAGAGTTACAGGTGGTCGTGAGCTGCTCAACGTGGTTGCTGGGAATTGAACTCAGGTCCTCTGGAAGAGCAACAAGTGCTCTTAGCTTCTGAGCCATCTCTGCAGCTCACTACTAAGTACCCTTATGAACGTTTGTTGCGTTTTTGTTCGCCAGGGGTATTGGATACTTTTCTCTTATGAATATATCTTCATCTGGGTTTGGTACGGGGAAATAATGGGCTTTGTAGGGAGAATTTATACATTGATCTTTGTGTTGTGATTTTCCTTAATGTCCACTCTGATCTTGATTATTTCTTCTACTTTTTGGGGTTTAGCTGATTCTTGCTCCTAGGACCCTAACATGCTTCATTGTGTTGTTTTGAGTCTCACTTTTCAGTGCAGGGACTTATAGCTATAAATTTATGCCCTAGACCTGATTTTAATTCATTTTTAATCTTATATCACTGGCCAGTGTTGAAACTGATCATCTGACCTAACAAAAATGAAGAGGTATTCACTGAATCGAAATCCCAGTACTGGCTCAGATGCTGAAAAAGCCTTAACAGAGCAGTATAAGATCATGGGGACCCTGGGCCGTGGACACTCCGGGGAAGTAAAGCTTGCTGAACATCTCAGCACACAGACCAAAGTGGCCATAAAAATTCTTCAAAAGAGCAAGAGGAATGCCCGCAGTAAATCAGAAATAGAAATCATGAAAGACCTTGATCACCCTTATGTTATTAAGATGTTCCAGGTGATTGATACCAAAGATAACATCTACATGGTTCTTGAGCATGTGGCAGGTGGAGACCTGATGAGAAGGGTTGGGAAGGCGGGCTATCTAAAAGAGGAGGTGTCTCGTAGGGTATTTAAACAGCTAGTATGTGCCCTACACTATTGCCGTGGGAAAGGGATTGCCCATTGGGACATAAAGCCGGAAAACATACTACTGGACAAACATGACAGTGTTAAACTGAGTGATTTTGGGATAAGTGTCAAACTTACCTACAGGCAGAAGCTGACATCTTTCTGTGGCACACTCCCCTACTGCGCCCCAGAACTCTTTGAGGGCAATGCGTATGACGGATTTGCAAGCGATAACTGGAGCTTGGGTGTTGTACTCTATTTCATGTCTACGGGGTATCTCCCTTTCCAATATTATACCTATGAAGGAATAAAGAGGAGAGTCCTGGAAGGCAAGTACTCCATGGAATTCAAGCTGTCGCCAGACCTTTGGGAAGTGATCGCTAAGTTGCTAACTGTAGACCCCAGAAAAAGGCCAACAATAGGTGATATTATGAACTTTTCATGGGTAGAGAACAGTGATAGAAGTTCTCTCAATTTAGCTGTAGAGGACAGCGACAGCCAACTGGACCCCATAGTCATGGTGATCATGAATGACATGGGGTACAACTCACAGGAGATAGAGGAAGCTTTACAAAAGAAAAAGTTTAATGAAATTATGGCGACATACTTGCTTCTGAGGCAACAGTCACCCTGGAAGGGCACCTTAATAAAAACAGTGCCGCCCGGGGAGCCAGATGAAAACCTGAACCTTGTAGAGCCTCCCAGCTTTCCACTGGGCCTCCAGGAGGCATCTAGTGCCCTTACCGGTCCCATCTTTTTGCCCACTCAATCTGAACTTCTGGGTGATGAAAAGAAGATTGGTAGAAGCGTTAATATTCCCTGCCTACCCCATACTCAAAAAACCTCCATGCTGCATGGTCATGACACTCAATGTATGAGCAGCATCTGCGGGGAGATGGGGAACAGCAGCATCCGCCGGCAGGGGAGCAGCAGCATCTGTGGGGGAGCAGGAGCATCTGTGGGGGAGCAGGAGCATCTGCGCGGAGACGGGGAGCAGCACCATCTGCGGGGAGATGGGGAGCAGCACCTCTGAGT